CCTGGGTCGGACTCCCCTCCTGTTTTCACCCCCACAACAACCCTGCGAGGTCGGCTGGCCTGGGAAAGGAGCGGGGCTGGCCCAATCCCCCCCCCCGGGAACTTCTTTGGGCTTAAATGCGGCCCCCCGGCCAACACTGCGCGCCACCGCCTGGCTGTGTTTTTTGAGAAGGGAAAGCAAAACTGTGCCCTGTAAAAACGGAAGCAAAAGTCTCTAGTCCTCAGTGGGACAACAGCATGAAGACAGGACACGCGTGAGGTCTTTTTCGCCCATCCAAGGGCGTCCTGAGGGACATCAGGGCCCCAAAGAGTGAAAAAAAGACCCTCCCGTCCTTCAGACCGCCTCGCTAGCAGAACAAGACTTGATCTGCGTCTGGCGTTACCATTTTTACTTTTTTCAGCGGCCCCTTGCGTGAACCGGATTCCCCACCAAAGGAAAGGATATGAACTTCCTAAAGAGAGCAGGAACTTCATGTTCTTTCCTTTCTCCCTGTCGGGTGGGTGGTTGGGCTGGCGTTTTGCTCTTCTCCGCTTTAACCCTAGTTTGGCAAGTAAGCCACAATGGAACCCAACCCACACAAGCCACCTTCGGGGTGAGGAGCCAAGCTTGGTTGGGAGGCTAACTCGGTTTCTGCCTTGCTGGGTTTGGGCTCGGTTGAGTTTTGGAGGAACAAGCAGAGATAGCAGATGTTTTTCTGTTCCTCTTCGTTACTAAAAAAAATGGAATTAACGAGATTTTGCCTGTGACTGAGCAAATAAAAGGGGTTTTGTGTGTATCACACAATCGTGCCTTTAACTGCACTGGCCTGGTATCTTTGCTAAACTCTGTTTGGCCCAGTCACATTTGGGGTTTTGCTCCCTCTCTGGATGATACAAATTGGCTTTTTAAATGGTGGGAGGGCAGGGAAGCCACACTTTGGCCTTTGAAAAAGGGAGCTCTTCAAATAATGTTGCTTCTGCATCTATTCCTGCTTTAATTTGGCCTCCTTTTTAACACCCCGGTTTCTGCAAGATGTGCGTCACAGAACGAATGCCTTTCATTTCCTGTTCAGCTGCCGAAATGAAAAACTTTCGCTCTGACTGTATCTTGCTCGTTGATTATCAGAGAGAAGAGGTAGGGAGCTGTTTTTCCTGAGAGATTTTGGCTGCCTTTCCAGCTTTTCCCCAGACAGATTTTTGCCCCTATTTTCACCCTGTTCCGGTGAGGTGGTTTTCGTGGCCAAAAATACGATTTGCAGGAGCGGAAAGTATTTCCAGAGCGTGCTTGCGGCTTCCTCCTTTGCAAGCCAGCTGAGATTTGGGGCTAGCTCGTTCTTTTGGCGGGGGGGGAGGTTGAAATAAAAATC